TAACACTTGTAACTTCTTTTTAATAGGATTTGACCAGATAAGCAATACACAGACTGTCAAACATAGATTTTCCAAGTACACACTACATTATATAATATACACACTACCAACAAAATAATGCTAATGCTCAAATGTACATCCTGTACATTGTCTCTTTCAAGCACTACAAGTTGGGCATGTTTGCAGATTCAGAGCTGACATTTTCTGCCAGGGTCAAGCACTCAGGCTTTGCTTGGAAGTTTACAGTGTTAAGAGGCCTGACAAGTGTAAACCTTGTACATGGCAAGGACAGAATAAAAAAATGCCAATTAAATGCCCCTTTTTTTCTGCCATCAAATGTACATTTTTTCTGCTTTCCTCTGTTCCTTCAATAACTCTCCCTAAAAGTCATCCCATTAAATCTTAAACATGAAGGCTCTTTCCAGTTCCAGAAAATTTACACAAATTACACCAGGGATATGGGACTGGTGTACTGATGTCAAACAGTTGCTATGGGATTAAGTTCCCTGATACCACTGAAGCTAAATTAACACTGGTTTCATAAAATCAGTGTTTTACCTGGGATATGAAAGCCTATTTCCAGTGTGTACTGGAGTTCCAGCCCTGCAGTGGTTAAGAGAAGCATGGTAATTCTTTATTTGATTTCAAGATTTTATTTTGCTTTAAAGAAAAAAAAAAATAGTCCACCCCATTTCATAACTTCATATACATTTATAATTTATGCTCTGTTGACTGAGAGAAAAAAGAATGAACATATTAAAATTTGATATCTGTCCTCCAAATGAAGGAAACATTTCGCAACAGAATTTGCATTGTTTAGCTCTGATCATCTCCACATTTTGTTGTCATTGCTGTCTTAAACACTGCTTCTATTTCTACTTCAGGAATTGAGGCACAGCGTGTTGACAGCATTTTGATGAAATGCTCTCAGTATTAAACCATAACTCCACTTCCCGCATTCATTCTGAACTTACTTTAGCTGCTCACTGAGGATTTAACCCAAAATATTCTTCACCATTCATTCCTACAAGACCTGTTTCCCTGCAGAGAAACCTCTGGCAGTATTACCTAAGGGAGGCAGTTTTGTACATACCAGACATCACTGGTTTTTCTCATATGATTTTTGGCTAAAAATAACTTGACTATAGAGTAAGAATACAATATTCAGAGAGTCAGACACCAAAAGGAAAGCTAAGCAGTGGATCACATAACTTGAACTCCAAGCCAAATAAAACAAACACAAAAAAAAAAACCCAAACCAAAACCAGTTAATTTTGCCTTTTTTTGCAAATGTTATTTATCCTGCCTGTTAGCAATGCAGACTTCACTCCATTTTGGTATGTCTGAGTACTGACATGAAGCAAATGAAGTACCATAATGATATATTTCCACCAAACTGCTTGTCTTCTTTGTAATCCCATTTTTATCATTTGTTTATATATTTTTCCATTTTTGTAAATTATATGTTAGATTCAAAAGAATCTAAAGAATGTAAGGATCACGGGGTAAAAGGCACTGTGCAGACAAAACAAATTAGCTGCAATACTGGAAGTTAAAACATATTTTAAGAATGGAAAGCCTGGAAGAAGCATATCCTACTCTGAGATATAAATAGCTCTGCTTCAAGTGTCAGATTAGTCCTCCACTTAAACTTTTACAGAGCCTCATGATATTTCACCATTTCCACAAGCTACTTTTGCCCAGGGACTTTCAGGACTAATCCTCCTGAACACAGATTTATTGCAGCTTTGCCCTATCTTCAGACTATTCCATTCCCCTTCCTGCCATTACAGACTTTGATGTATTCTGCATTTGAATGTCTTCATTTGTAAGCTTCTGGTGCATGTGCTAGCCATCAGTTATTGTCTGCACTAAGAGAATGCAGCCAGTAATGGGTTTGGGATTTTATTCTATTTACAATAGAAGACCTGATTTTTTTTTTTTTAATTGAGACAGCAATCTGAGTTTAATTTATGTCCTTAAACAAGTTTTGTGGTTATCCAGAGCATAACGCCATTAAAAATTTTACACAGCTGAGATCTATCATGAGGGAGAAAGAAATGCTTGAAACACAGATTTATGATCTACAGGTAATGAATGTTGATGGATCCTAGAGCACTCCTACTGCAATTACAGGTAGCTGTTTTCCAGAAAGATTAAGATTCCCAAAAAAGTTTAAGTGCTTCCAGCTTTAAGAGGCACCACACTGTGTTAGTAGGTTGGTGACTCCCTCTCCTTCTGCCTGCCTTTTCACATTCACACTAGACACAGGTCAGGCTCAGCTGGCTCTGGAAAAATCCTTAGGCAAATGCTGCTCATCATCCCCACTGCCTGGGACACTGTACTGGTTCCCCAGTTGTGGGTCTACAAGTGAAACAGGATCCTTTCTGCTGCTGCTGGAAACCACAAACTCCAAGCTTCTTGACAGCCACCCTCCGCTGCCTGCTAGACAGTAGTCTCCAGCTGTCCTTCCCATCTCATGTTGTGCAGCTTTCAGGTCTGCAAACTTCAGCTAAAACCCTGTCATTCCCCTCTTCCCTGAAAGCAACTGCTTGCTATTGCAGCGGAGAGCGACAGTAGCAGTCAGCTCTGCTGCTAAGAGGTTAAAAGAGTCATGAGATGGAAAGCTGCTTACCGCCACCACCTTTGACTTTCCTCAAGGTATGTAGACTGGCTTTGAACTACAGGGACTGCCTTACAGGCCCTATAGGGAATTCAAAGTAGAGCTGAGGGAAGCAGAGAACATAGATCAAGTGCTTCTGTTTTACCTTTCCTTGTAGCATAGACAAGGAGTGATTTAACAAGGATGAAAGATGAGAAATTACCAATCAACAAACTAGATAGATTCGTATCACTTACTGCAACCAGAAATCAGTACTAGAGGTTTTATTATCTTTCTTCTGCATACTACAAATACTTCCAGACCTCAGACCCAATTAGCAATGCAGTGTCTTAGTCACACATACGTTCATTTTTGTTCTTAGATTATAGTAGTGATGAGTCACACCAAACTAACCAGTGCACCAAAATCTGCACAAATTGAGAGAAGACAATACAGTTGTCAGAATTACAGGGAAAAAAAAAAAAAAAGTAGAATATTTAGATCTCAGGTATGCAACAATTGCATAATTTACTGCTGCACAAATAATTTGCACTGATGTTATAAAGTACAACAAATTACTATTTTTTATGTAGCTTATGTGGGATATGCAAAACTGCAGAAGTCAGAAGTAGAGGTATGCTGGCTTTTAGGAAACAGCTGGCCACTGTAATTCCGTGGTCTAGGAAACACTATGTCAGCTTCTACTTCTGGATACACATGAATAAATCTGGTTGATATAGATGAACTAAATTACCATAAAGACCAACTTATTAATTGGGAACCAAACACTGCTCTATGATACCTTCATTTAAAAACATTTAACTGTGACTAATGTTAGTATACTGTAATGTGTGATCTTAAGCATTCCTAAGTAGCCATCTGACAAATGATTATTGCACATCTTCTCAGTAAGGTATATTTGGTACATGACTGAATTAAATGAGGTCCTACCTCTGCTGACACCCCTGACCTTTTCTATGACAAACGCAAAACCTGTTAAGACACATGCAAATCAGCCTAAGGAAAAGCATAAATATACCATTTCCATGGTACTTTACAGTATTCTAGAGCAGTTGCATGGACTTGCTAGATGTTCCTTTTACACAGCTAGAGAGATGGATTTCGTAGACTTAGGATAATTTGAAGAATGTCACCTTAATGAAGCATGTGGCTTTTTTTTTTTATTTGAATTATGTCAGTTCTGTGACAGCAAACATTATGACTCCAATACAGATGTAAGTGTGCTTGGCTTTTAGCACATCAAAAGTAAAACTTCTAGATGCATTCCTGTGGCATCAATTGACATGGAACTGGAGGACCAGGGCCAAATCTAGATCAAGAAAATAGGTTATTTGCCTTCCTCAGGTAGGAATTGCTGGGGGAGAGAGAGAGAAAACAATAAAATTGCAAGCCAAGTTTGCCCATTCACAACTACAAAAGTTTTATAAGGATTTAAGAACACTTCCCTCACAAAAAAAGGCAAATGCAGGTGATAACTTACTGCTCTGAGCTTGAAAGCACCACTGTGAGTGTCTTTCTTGAATGGATCTTTAAAAGAATCTATAATTTGACCACTGTCCTCACATAGTCACTTAACATTTCTCCGAAGGGGTCTGGGCTTAACAGCAAGTATTCACTTAGATGCTCTGTGATTTACAATGCAACAGGAGGGAGGAACAGACTCCTAAAAAGGCCTAGGCTATGAAGAATATCTTCAGGGACTGAATGTTAGCTCACATGCCCTCTAGAAGGAGAAAAGATCTGGAAGATCCCAATGCTACTCTCAATGTTTATCAAGTAACCACCACATAATGTTGTATTTCACAAGTGTTTGATAGCATCCTTCCATTTTTAAAGAGATAATGTACAATTATCACAGTTAATGAGAAACTGTTTATGAAACCATAAAAATAATCAAATGTTACCAATAATTCCACATCATGAATGAAAATGCACGTACCTATCTAACAAAATTAAAACAGCAGTAGGTGACAACAAATTGAACAAAGAAACTTGTCAGCAGTCCAAGATATAAATATTTTGCAAACCAGTTTGAAGACGTCTGAATTAAGGGCGTTAAAAATAAGATGTCCAAGTAGAAACTTCACTAAATGTTCTTCAAAACACTGAACACTTTAGCACATGCAGTTTTCAGCCAAAATTCTGTTCTATGGTATTTAGCATATGCCAGGATGCTTTATACTGTAACCAGTATATTGTGCTGTGTAAATTATTTAACCATGTTTTACAAGATATGTAAAGTCTGTATGTCAGGAATCCATGTGCATAACCATTCTGTATTTAAACAGACAGAAAAGCCACTGTACAAAATTTTGCCTTCTCAAACAAGTAAAACGTGGTTTCAAATCTGATTATTTTTTTCACCCTCCTCTTTCAGGATCACAACAACAGCTGCTTGCATGATGGATCTACGCAGATATCCTCTGGATGAACAAAACTGCACACTAGAAATCGAAAGCTGTAAGTTACTGGAGGGAGAGGGTTGGCCAAATGACAGCTGTGGATTGAAAGACATTCACAGTTTAGGCAAAACAGGAACAAGTTGTTCAAATACTGTGTGTCCAGTGAGTTTGCACACTGAACATACCTAATATATTTCCATAATACATAAGCCAAAATATCTTTAATTCATAATACTGGTTGATCCAAAATTGCAAGATGTCTTTCAAAATCTCTTGTCAATGAAGGGAGAAAAGTATTTCTTGATGATTAGATCAGAGGACAGCAACTGAGCACTGTCTATCTTCAGTGCATAATCACCACAGAACTTGAATTAATTGCTTCACCTCAGTGCATTCAAATCTAACATCAAGATTAACAACTACTTCACATAGTGGCGGCAGGATTGATCAATTGCTTTTACCAAACGCTTGGAGGTTATAAAAGGAAACAACTTGCTCCTTCAGCACCAAGGTCAGTGGCAGCTTTGTCAGCGTCTCCCATGACCACAGGATCAAGGTGTCATTGTCTTTATATCTTTTATAATGCTAGCATTTAGAGAAATGCCTATCTAAGTTTTTTAAAAGAATTTTGACTGTGTCATTGGTCAAACCAGCTGCTGCCACTGACCACAGAGCACTGTCTGAACAATCTGGCTAAGACTACGTAAAGTCCAAGGCAAAATAATGCATCATTTTTCTAAGAATTTCCATTTTTCACATTACAACTGTTGCACTGTCAGAGCTAAGCAATATTTTCTTGTACTAATACTTCTCTCTAAAGTATGAGGCTTTAGGAAGGATTAACAGATTATCCCAAATACAGAAGCTTGGTTCAATTTACTGACGAGAGAGGAAAATCTTAGTATTTGAACCTCTGGTTTGACGGATAGTTTGGAGTGTTAAACAAACAGAGAACCAAGCTGATCCAGGATTAACCAAAATAATTTCCTAATACCTATGTCATCAACAAAAGTGATGTTTTCATTGTTTGTAGCACATCCCATTCAAGGAACTGAAAGTTTTCACAAGCCCAGTAAGTTCAGTTTTCATTCTGCAGAAACTCATTAGATTTTGCTGTGGACTGAAAAGAGGTTAAATTCATAGAATCATAGAATCATAGAATAGTTAGGATTGGAAGGGACCTTAAGATCATCAAGTTCCAACCCCCCTGCCATGGGTAGGGACACCTTGCTCTAAACCATATTACCCAAGTCCTCGTCCAACCTAGCCCTGAACACTGCCAGGGATGAACCATTCACAACCTCCCTGGACAACCTATTCCAGTGCCTCACTACCCTAACAGGAAAGAATTTCCTCCTTATATCCAATCTAAACTTCCCCTCTTTAAGTTTTAACCCATTACCCCTTGTCCTACCCCTACAGTCCCTAATGAAGAGTCCCTCCCCAGCATCCCTATAGGCCCCCTTCAGATACTGGAAGGCTGCTATGAGGTCTCCACACAGTCTTCTCTTCTCCAGGCTGAACAGCCCCAACTTTCTCAGCCGATCTTCATATGGGAGGTGCTCCAGCCCCCTGATCATTCTCATGGCCCTCCTCTGGACTTGTTCCAACAGATCCATGTCCTTTTTATGTTGAGGACACCAGAACTGTACACAATGCTCCAAGTGAGGTCTCACGAGAGCAGAATAAAGGGGCAGGATCACCTCCTTTGACCTGCTGGTCACACAATTCATCATAACCCCACGGCATCAATTTTCAAAAGCATTCCGTTAGTCTTCAGTTGCTTAGATTTGACAAAAACATTTTCACAGTGTCGAAACAGTAGAATATTCATGTATAAGACATTTAATAGCATTGCAACACCAATATAAAATAAACAAGTCTAAGCCAAAGCTGAAGTTGCTTTGAATCTTAGAAAATGTAGCTGGGAAAAAAAATCAGTTTATTTTGGAGTGCAGTGGTTTTCATCACTTGTTTATACATAAATGTAATATATCTCAAAGTATCTATCTGTGAGGTGGCAACTATCAGGCACTGAAAAAAAAAGCATATAGTCAGTCTAGAGCACTGACGAGACAAGATGGGCTCTCAGCTCAATGTTTATACTCGTTTATAATTTATACTTGATGGCAGCAGAAAGATGCCTTATTTAAAGCATACCTTCAAAATCACTTTCCATAATGAAGTACTTTGGGCTTTTGTAAGTGTACAACCAATATCAGCCTTAATATAAGTCAGTGGAGCTTCCGCTTTTCACTTGGATTTTAAACTGTTTGGTAAGAAACTTGAAATGTTTTCCCCAAAATTATTTGCTTTTGCTCCTTTTCCTGGGATGTCATTTTATAGTGATTTTAGAGATTCTTTGCCAGGTTGAGAATAACAAACTTTTTATTTCACCAGCAAAAGATTCCAATCAAGTAAACATTCACAGTAGGCTTAATGAAAATTTATTAGAGAACATTGTCTGAACAGAACCTGCCCATTTATTTCTTTAGAGATTCAAAAATAATGGAGTTTATTTTTAAAATCCTAGTGTTTTGGCACTACAGGCAGACTTCTCGGAAAGAGAAGCAGAGAGACAGTGTTGTCAATGTTCCCTGTGAAGCACTTCGATAGCTGCAGTCCTGAGTCACCACAATAGCTTATTCTCTGTTCACTGTTCAACATGCACATGAACACCTCTGGAAGGACATACTGGTTTTGCACCATATTAAATCCCCTCAACAGATGAGGTAGCATGGCAAGCTGGGCCAAGTCGATATACATGTAGCGAATACTTGTGTTAGGGCAACATGCATTAACTTTCCCTGTGCACCTGCTTTCAGTTAGCCTGTCCATATCCACATTGCTCTGAGTGATTGAAGCACCCCAAACCCACACCCCTGTGTATGAACACATTTTCTTCTCATTCCTGAGAAGCAGAGAAAGTAGGCAATTGTAACTTCCCTTTCCAGTGCTGCCCATCACACTAGTGATCTCCCCAGTTACTTTCTACTAGTGCAAAACTCTCAGAGTCTCATAGTCCACTACCTCACAGGACATACAGAGATGCTCCCTAAGCAGTGTGGCTGTCATACTCACCCTAGGGCTTTGCAGTTCCCTGATGGTTTTGGCACAAAACAGTTTTCTTGATGTTGCCTGCTGCTGCTTAGCTCATCTTATGGTTTAAACTTATTAAGATGTGCAATAGATGCATTTGGAGAATGAGTCATATCTTTGCAAAATAAAAGTGCATGACACTCCTCTTAACTAACTCTTCTATCCAATCATCAGAAGAAATGAATATACATATGTACTGCAGTAATCAAAATGGAAGGCTTCATACTGAAGTTGCCTTCATATGGAATTCATACCTGAATTTATTTGCTGGGAGATAGTTAATTTGAAGTCTCCAGTCCAGTCATGACTAAAGCTGATCAAAGTACATGAGCATTTATCAACTAGCAGACCAAATAATTAAACCAGACTGACACTTTTCTGGCTCATACCTCTTTATTCATAAATGAAGCTTTGTAGGGATGAATGCTCAATGGGAATGGATTTAGTAATATTACTTAGGCCTCATCAAGAATCAAAATTAGCATCTGACAGAATAAGCAATTAAAATGCTAACACAGTCTGGGATGAGAGAACACAATGTCACCCATGTAGCCAGTCACACATCCCCAGAAGAAAATTGCTTTTCAGATCTTTTGAACACGTGCTATGAATAATTCATGTCTCAAGATATATATATTGAGATATTAATACTTATTAAGTCTATCAAAAGAAATCAATAAAATATTTATTCACAATTTGCCAAGAGGTCAAAATTGGCAGAGTACAGTACTACTCATGAGTATTTAGATCAGTTCTACTAACAACTGAGTGATTTTTCCGAAAGGACTAATATACTAAGCTGCTACCTAGCTCTCAACAGCACATAATCTGGCATAGACATAACAGGTCTGATCTTCAGCTAGTGAAAGTTGGCATGGCTCCATTTTTGTCAATTAAGCAACCAGAACTCACACCGAGAATCTTCTCTATCTGCTTTTTTATTAGGTGTTTTGAATGTTTGTTCCAAGTGGATGGCTCTTTCCTCAGCCCACCCTTTAAATTACATCTGATCAGCAGAAGCACAGTAAATTAACTCAGAAATCAAGACATGTTCATGAGGAGTGTTCAATGCCTGTAGAAAACGCACACAACAATCTGGATTGTGAGCAAAAGACAAAGATTGAATAATAAAACAAGTCAAAGGTCTGTATGGGCATGTAAAATATCTGTCCTGCATTTAAATAGGAGTAGTTATTAAAATTATCTCCACTTTCCTGCAGATGTAAATGCATGGCTAGCATGGAGGTGCATACCTGCAGGTGCAATCACAAGAAATGTGATTGTGCAATAGAAATAGCAAGCAAAAGCCGAACAGCTAAACCAATACTGAGACACTAGACCATGACAAAGATGAATGATATGATTTTTACACCATTGTTAAACTCCCCTAAAAAATGAACTTTATGAGCTTTATGTTTTTCTAATCCCATGCACAAGGACACTAGGGCTGCTGAGGGGTTCCTTGAAGAGCATCCTTTGGAAATCACATTGGTTAAGAGGTTTTACACATGGATTCACAAGTACTATATGCTGTGCCATCCTGTCTTCTTGGACTTGAAGCCCTGTCTACTTCCTCAATCCAGTCTCGCTTATTTACCCAGGGTCAGCCTGTGGCTGGACTGTGCATGGATGTGAGCTCAGAAAGCTGCTGCAAATACAGCCCACTCTTCCTCCCGAGCTCCCCCTCAAGGTGAGAGCTGCAGGATCTCCATCCCTAAGGGGTGACAGGAAGGTGGCATCTGAGTGAGTCCTTTCCCAGTTCCAGGGTGCTTCCTCACCTCTAAATGAAGCAAACTGGAGAGACATTTTCCCCTCCAAAAGCTCAGTTCTCCCCAGTGCATCCACAACTGCACAGCCCTGTGGCAATGTCAGAGCTCACCAGTACTGTAGTACACATAACCTGGGCCTCTCTTTGAGTTCCCCAGTGTTTTTAATGGAAACTTATTCTTACTGCAAAAG